AAATTCTTTACATTGTTAATTTAAATATAACATTATATGGTCAACTTCAATATAAATTTCATTTCCACTTCAAAAACCCAAAGAATATTTTGTGAATAGTTAAAAGTGATAAATTATAGTGCTAAATGCAAAAAGTAAATTTTAATACCAATTTAACTAAAATATTTCTTAAAGATATTTTTATAATCGTTAAAAGTTTTCAAATAAGTAGCTTAAAATAACTTATAATAACAATAATTAAAAATAACTCTATATAAATGATTATATTGTTACCTTTAAAATTAAAAAAAAAAAACTGTTTGATATTTTAAATAATTACAATGATAGAAATTAAAACGTCAAACTAATAAATTTTAAAAAATTAATTAACAATAACAACAACTATAAATTACTTTAAACCATATATTATATTTAATTTTATTCATGAGTAACCCGCGGGTAGAAAAAGCCACTACCACACTTCATCTCACCACCATTCACCACAGCCATCTATCCTCAACAGCCAACGACATCTAGCATATGCTTAATGTTCTCTCCTCAGTTCATCTTAACCCCTTTTCGTTTGAATTCCCAGTTAATATTCCCAATATGTGGTTTAAACCAACCTATCCAGCATCGTCATCCATGACATCTAGCTTAAGAGTACCGGGCAACAACAGTGCGAGACGATCGATTTCTCTCCAAAATTCGACCACAGTGTACTTGTAGAGAAGCAAGAGGGAACATCGGGTTCTCTACAAAATTAACAAGGTAAGTACAACACAACTAATCTCCAGGCGCATAACCCCTTTTAATATGTGCATGCTACATGTTTGATAAAAGTCCCCAGTGAATGAAATCCAATGTACTACTTCCTTATTTCATGACTTGAATCTACTGCAAGAAAAATTGAAGGCAAGTTCCAAAATATCCTGATCTTAAATTATTTTTGTCATATGCTCTTCGATATTTCAAAACGTTTTCATAGCTATTCTGTTTGTAAGTTATTTGATTTGGTTATCATCAACTTTTTTTATTCTTTTATTTTGGTTTATTTAACCGATTTTCATTTTTATTGGTGATAGAGATTCAATTGTTGGTGGTGTCTGGCTCTATTACATGGTCTACAAGCTTTGCAGGTTCCACGTACCTTTGTTTTCCCACTGTTTATTCTTTGTGAGTTTATAAAATTAATAATACAAGTTCATATTTCATTAGGGCTTAAAGGTTTACTGTTTTTGATAATATATGTGCATACATGTTTACAAAAGTCATTACTTTTACTTTCAAAATGTTAAAATTAGTGAATATGGGGGAAGTCAAGATGAAGCTTAACAAGATATGGATAAGAAAGATCAGGTTTTGGAACATATAAGGTATGTGTATCTCTTTCTTCTATTATGTTACTCAAAATTTACATTGTATTCAAACTACTATTGATGTTTGGTTGACCTTTTTATTAAAGTATAGCTTAAGTTTTTTATAGATGATTAGTTTCTATATATAATTAGTGTTATCACGCAATGTTTCTTATGTAGGATTGATGGAGATTTGTTACTCATGTTCAAGGTAACAGTCTTGACCTAATTTTCTTTGACCGTACAACATTACTAAGCTAGATCTGCCAACAATTTCTGCAATTTGGTCAATGTGTTGGAAAAAGGGTATTGGTTGGAAAAAAAGGTTGATCAAACCCTCCAGTTTATCCATGCTCTCTCTTCCTCATCTGAAGAAATACTTCGAATCCTCACTTCTAAATTTTGATTGGTTTGTACATCATCAGTCTTTCTAATTTTTACATGGTCAGTTATGAAATTAAAGTGGCAATTTCTTCTGATTTTTGCACAGTCTGTATATCATCACTCTATGTTTTTTTGTTGATTTTCGAAGTTTGCATGTTATTAACCTCATCAGTATGATTGTTGAAATTTGACGAGTGTTTTCTGAATTTGAGTTACATTTCAGATTTTTCTTTGTGCTTCCAGCATCCCTTACCACATGTAGTTGTTCATCACATTCTTTTTCCCTTTTAGTTCATATTTTGATACCTTATTTGATTTTTTTTTATGTTTTCATGTTTAATTTTCTTTTTCCGTTTTTTTGTAGGGTTTTCACAACAATTAGAAATTGGGATTTGGTGGGAGTTCCACTAAAATGCATAAGTCTAAACTGAGATATGGAGTATTGGAGTTACATTTCAGTAATATGTAATATATAATTTGATAAGGGCATAATAGTCATGTCATGGTTTAAGCATAATTAAATTATTAAAAGTCCCAAATAACAAATTAATTTAATTAATAGAAGTCATAATTAAATAAATAAAATATGAAATATATAATTTGATAAGGGTATAATAGTCATATCATGGTTTAGGCATAGTTCAATTATTAAAAGTCCCAAATCACTAAATAAATTAATTATTATAAGTGCCAAATAAATGAAAAATATTAAATATATTTAATAAGGACATAATAGTCATGTCTTGGTTTAGGCATAGTTCAATTATTAAAGGTCATAAATAAGTAAATAAATGGGGTTAGAAGTCCCACGAAGACACCACATCTTTTGACTACTAAGTTATTATTTTTCAATATGTTATAAATACTTTATGATCTTACTATTCTTTTCTATCTTTCTTCCATGGGCTTTGATGTTGTAATCACTATTTTAATAATATAAAAAACACAAAATATATCAATATTACCACATCACAACAATACCCCTTTCCCATTAAAACTTAAAGTGTATCTGACCTAACGGTATTAGAAGTTGACTGATACTTACTCTTTATTTAGGTTGGGGTTCAAATAAAAAGATGTAAATTTAGGAATATAGTATATGTATGCATGTGTAGACTCTTCTAAGATAAAAAAAAAGGTACCCCTAACAACAATACGATTAATGAACGAAGGACACGACTCATTGGAAAAAGATTCATCAATCATGTGTTCCTATACATTTGTAAACAATTCTAACATAACTCTTATGATAATTGTTTTGATGTAAAAAACTATGTGCACAAAAGAACTAATTGTCGTTAGAAACTAATTTTCGAAAAAAATATTTTCAACCGTCTCTTAGCACGGGTAAACCGCTAGTGTGTGTATATATATATATATATATATATATATATATATATATATATATGTGAATTACTAACGCTCTTTATCTATAAATTTACTCATACATAACCGATAAGAAGTTTGAATGACTCATTCTATCATTCCAAACAAATTGAACATCTATATATCTTATAAAGCTAGCATTTTTCCTTAAACCTCATGCATTTGAAACTCCCATGCATTTTTCCTTTCACCACATTCATTTGAAACTCCCATGATTTTTCAGTTTTTTTCTAACAATAATTATAATTGGTTAGTAAGGTTAAATAAATATCAAACCTAAAGTGTAATCATATATAAACTAAATTTCAATACTAAAATAATATCTTACTTCTACTTATAAAGTTATCTTTTTTAAACTTTTAACATATTATACTTATTTTGCTAGTGTTAATATATTGTTGGATGTAAACCATTATCAATTTAAAGATACAATTTTGGAACAATTTGTATAGAATACTTAAATTATTAACTTAAATATTACATTACAAGGTTCACTTAAATATAAATTTTAGTTTACCTTAGACAACCCAAAAAATATTTTGTAAATAGTTAAAAGTGATAAATTGTAGTGTCTTTCTAATAATGATTATAAGTTGGTTAATAAGGTTAAATAAATATCAAACCTAAAGTCTAATCATAAATAAACTAAATTTTAATTTTAAAATAATATATTTACTTCTAGTTATAAAGTTATGTCTTTAACTTTTAACATATTATACTTAATTTATTAGATTTAAAATGTTGTTGTATGTAAACCATCATCAGTTTAAAGCTACAACTTTTGAACAGTTTAGACAAAAATACTTAAATTGTTAATTTAAATATAACATTACAGTGTCAACTTAATATAAATTTCATTTCCACTTAAAAAAACCAAATAATATTTTGTAAATAGTTAAAATGATAAATTGTAGTGATAAATGCAAAAACTAAACTGTAATATCAAAGTAACTAAAATATTTCCTAAAGATATTTTTATAATCGTTAAAAGTTTTAAAATAAGTAAATTAAAATAATATACAGTAACAATAGTTAAAAATAACTATATATAAATGATTATATTGTTACATTTAAAATCAAAAAACATTAATGTTTGATGTTTTATATAATTATAATGATTGAAATTAAAAGATTAAGGAAATAAATTTTAAAAAATTAATTAACAATAATAACATCTACAAATAACATTAAACCATATATTATATTTAATTTTATTCACGTGTAATTCGCGGGTAGAATAAGTAAATTAAAATAACATACAGTAACAATAGTTAAAAATAACTATATATAAATGATTATATTGTTACATTTAAAATCAAAAAACATTAATGTTTGATGTTTTATATAATTATAATGATTGAAATTAAAAGATTAAGCAAATAAATTTTAAAAAATTAATTAACAATAATAACATCTACAAATAACATTAAACCATGTATTATATTTAATTTTATTCACGTGTAATTCGCGGGTAGAAATCATTCAAACTATTGAGATAATGCAGTTATAATAGATGTCATATAATTCAAAACAATCAATATATTATATCAATTTAGTATACGAATTATAATATTAAATTTAATAACAATATTATTGTTATATTTAAAAAAAAAACATATATTTTTAAAGACTTTAATTATATATGTGTTTTTCGCACAACGTGCCGGCATACATTCCATTACATTTCTCTTTTGGTTCGTTTGTGATAACGTGATTCACCCTTAATTTAATATTTTTCATGTTGCACACCATGTGAATCATATTTTGTTTGTGTGTATAAGTGTTATCTTGAAAATAGTAAGTTTAGCAATTAAATGTTTGAGTCGGACAACCAAAACTATCTATATAAGGCAAATGGTATCGATTTGTATTTTCCACAAACTCATCAACTCTCTCTTTTAAATAAGTGCTTTTTCGGTTTTGGAAATAGCAAAAGATGGCTCTTTCTGGAAAGTTAATTTGTTTTTTAGAGATCAGTAAGAAGGGAGATGTCTTCCTTGATATCTTTAGATACAACCCAGACGAGTTTTCTGCAATATGCCCTCATAAGGTTCATGCATGTGAATTGATTGAAGGTGATCGGGGGGCCGTTGGATCTCTCGTCCATTGGCATTACACTCATGGTATGTCATAATGAAAACCCTACTTCTATTTCTTTGACCAAAACTATGTGTTATTTTGAATTTTCATTTGTTTGAGTCCATTATATATATATATATATATATATATATATATATATATATATATATATATATATATATATATATATATATATATATATATATATATATATATATGGTTAGGTTCATTTGAAATAGTTAGATTTTTGAGACCGTGGGTCCACTTATTTCTAATAAAATATTCTAATATTCTATTATTCAAAAAAAAATATATAATGTATGTAATATTCTGAAATTGTAAAACAATATTTTGAAAGCATTTTATATTGAAATATCTAAAAGCAGATAATATTAGAATATTATGTATATTATATTTTTACGATGACTAAATATTAAAATATTTCACTAGAAAAAATTGGTTTCATGATCTCATAAAATTATGTTCGTCTCAATTGACCTCTTATATATATATATATATATATATATATATATATATATATATATATATATATATATATATATATACTAGTTTATAACCCGTGATAACCACGGTTATAAAATTAATTAAACTTTCGTATTAAAAAAAATCGAAATCATTAATAAATTATTTTAAATAAATTATTACTTAAGAGATATTTTTTTAGTTGTATAAAATTATAATCGTTGATTTAAATAAATACGTGGAGTTATGTCATTTTATAATTTATATTAATTTTATTTTAGTTTTTTAATCTAATGTTATTAATTTGATATAATTAAAGGAAGAAATTTTAAATTTGAAATTTAAAATGAAGAATTAATTATTAATTTAATAAAATTAGATTGAGAAATTTAAAATTTGAAATTTGAAATTAATAATTAATAGGTTGACAAGTGGTATGATAAATGATATATAACATTAATGAGGATTCTAATTGCATGACTTTGTCAATATGAGATTAAACGAATTCTTATATTAGAATAGGGATATACATATATATATATATATATATATATATATATATATATATATATATATATATATATATATATATATATATATATATATATATATATATATATATACTAAAATGTTGTCTTTGAATATCTAAACGAAATTTAGAGGGAAAGAAGAAAATTGATAAAGCCATAATCGAAGCTGTTGATGAGGAAAAGCAGAAGATAGTGTTCGATGTAATCGGAGGAGATCTAGTGGAGGATAAATACAAGACCATGAAAGTAATATTTCATACTGAAAAAAAGGGTGATGCACAAGTGCTAACTGTGACACTTGAGTTTGAGAAGCTTAACACAACTGTACCCTATCCAACTTCTTTTATGGATTGGTTTTGCAGTGTGATTAAGGACATAGATCTATGCATATAACAACAGTAAACAACTTCTAATAAACAAATGAAACGAAGGGAAGTTATGGGTGTTTCTCAGAATGTTTGAATAAACTACATCAATATAATGAATAAAGGGAGAGAGAAGTTAATGTGGGCTGGTGTAATTTGTATACGATGAATCGTTTTAATATAGTATATTATTCTTGTTCCCTAATGATTTTGGTTGTTGGAAACCGTTTTCTAATCCCCAAAACAAATTATTTCTTGAGCATGTATTTGTTTTCTTAATAACGATAAACACTTGGCAATCTACTTTTAAGTTACGTTATTGTTCTAAACAAGACTTAACCCACTATAGCAAAACAAACCTTCACCCATGGCAAAATCTATAGGTAATAGGATTTATCCATGGATACTTGTCTGGTGAGTAATATGCTCGTGGATAATATTTTTTCCCACGCATATATTACCATGGAAGTTTTACCCACGAATTATCTACTGAGTGGTTACCCCCCAGATTTTCCTAGAACTTGGTACGCATGGATTATATGTGACAAACGGTTAAATTAGGTTAATGTTTGCCGCTCAAACTACTGCAAATCCACCTTGTAAGACTACGCTCATTCACAATCAAAAGCAACTTAACTATTGATGGTTGTCGAGGCCAACAAAATTAATAACCCTAAATCTTTTACACTAAAATAGTGTATTGTGGTAAAAGGGTCGAATCCACGAAGATTGGCTCAATTTTATATAACTCTATGAAAAAACCTATTTGTAAAAATACTTGGGGAATGACAATAAATTAAAAATAAGGGGTTTTGGTCTTTTGAAATACTTGAAATAAACTAGAATTAAACTAAGATTTAAATGGACAATTCAACAAAAATAAAGGTTTGATGTAAAATCAATAAGAGAAAGATGGTTGACTTAAGGTTTCCTCACTTTGACTTTTGATGAATATTTCATTAGAATCCAATGGTGCAATACTTGTTTTAAATCCTTAATTTGGCTATAGTAATCCAAGAAGCTTGAGATTACATAGACTTTTCTTAGTTTTTAAAATGGTTAGAGAAACTCATAACAATTTTCTTAGTCAAAGTCACAATTTATATTAAGCATGTAATTAGTGAAAGTCAACTAGCATTAAGAACCCAAAAGTCACCAAATCCAAGAGGAGTCAAATGCTTTCACTACCATGTTGGAGAAAATGTTTTTATGATTGTGTGAAACAAAACTAACACAAAAATCATTTGTTGCTTGCTAATTTAAGGATCATTTACTTAATCAAGAAATTAGCCTACTAATCACCACAAGTATATTTAAACTCATGAATAAAAACATACAAGTAGTAATAAGATGTTAAAACAAAAAACATTCTCATAAAGATTCAAGAACTAGTTCATGGAGTCTTCAACATTCAACATAAGTTAAAGGATTTCACCAAAGTCAACCAAGTTTTGTTTAGCCAAGCATAACTAAACTCATGAAAACAAAGTAAGTAAACATTGTACCAAACATTTTAAAGGATTCAAGAGCAAAATGATGAAGTTCTTTAAGGTTTTTGGTCTTCAAAATGCTCCAAATTCTCCAGAGAATGCTCACACGTTCGGATGTGCAAAAGTTGAGAAATGTGGCACACCAACCTTCCCCATATAGAGCTCCAATTAAAATCCCGAAAATGCCCCTGTAGGAATCCACGCAGGCTGCATGGAAACCTTACGCGGGCCGCGTAAGAGTGACGAAGGTTGGACTTTGTTCAACTGTTAGGCCTCCACAACTTAACCCATTTGGCACAGTTCGAGTCTGATTAGCTTCTAGCCCATTTTTCTGCAAGATTTCTTCATTTTAAGCCCAATTAGCCTTTTCTAAACGATCCATAGCTTTTGTAATCGCCTGATCAACAATCTCCGCATACTCGAAAATTCCCCCGCATCTTGCAAATTTAAAGTTTAATTCTTCCAATCCTTCAAGTAATTCACAAGCCCACTCCATGCATCATCTCCATAATTATTAAGTCCAAAACCCTTGATATCCTCCAAATACAACCGCTTCCCATAATTCCAGAACATTCCCGCTCCGCTAGACCTAAAAACCTGCAATTATGCTCACAAAATTCGAAAGTACCCGAAAGTGCTCATAAAATAACAAAAAGGAAAATATGCATGAAAATTAACTAAAATATGAATGAAATATGCTAAAATAAACTTTAAAAAGAAGTAAATAAAATAAAATTATCAACTATCTATTAAAATATTAATTTCTCTCTCTTCTATCTATACAACCTAACTAAACCCAAACTTTTACTCTCATTAGCAACTTAGACCAACCTAAAAATTAATATTAAAAAAATAATAAAATACATCATTATTAGTCTCTATTTGTAGAGAAAAATAATTTATAAATTTAAATATTTTTTGTTTTTTTTTATTTTCAATAAAATAAAACATATTTGTGATTTATAAAACTTGTTTGATAATAAATAAAGATGACAATAATGGATGTATTCGAAATAAGTCAACCCGCTAATGTTTGCTGCACCAACGCCGTCGATCATATTATTGCTTTTTGGATACCCTTTTCATTTTTATTTAATTATGGGAACCGATTCGTACACAACAAATTTTTTTCCGTACACAATAATTTGTGCATTAAAGTATTGTATTGTACAGCTCCATAAAGCACAAAATGTTGTGTATGAATAAAAATTGTTGTTTACAAATCACTTCCCTTTAATTATCAACCCACAAACTAAAGACAACTAGTCACCAATAGGAGTGGTCTAATATACCAAATGTAATGTATTCAACACTTTTCACTACAAATAAAGTTTTTATACTTAGAATGCATATGTAATAACACTTTAGCCTCCGATGGATAAGATCGTTGACAAACAAAACACTATGCACAATACATAAGTAATAATTAATACATTAAAAACAAAAGTTTTGTATTAGGTATTTTTTTTATGTGTAAAGCATACTCTAAACGGATAGGGCATGTAAGTATGATTTTGTGAATATAAAGAACGTCCAAAATGGAGATCTTATGCAAAAATTATGACCATTTTAAGGAAGGAAATCAGTAATATAACTAAATTTCTATAAACGAACTTTAAAACTATATGTAGCTCTGTATTTCATTAAGTATTTCTTAACTTGTTTTTGGAATCAGATAATTTCCTAATATTTGATTCCATTTTCGAAAGTTTCGTATCACAAAATTATAACACTTCCACAAAAACTGTTTAATCGCGATAACCGAAAAACAACTGAATTTTGACTTCGAACGCGTTTTTTTACATAGTTTCGTTTCTAATTAGAAATTTCGTTTACATATTTAGAGACTCCATTTTCGGGAAATCGAACTAGTTTTTCAAAAAAAAAAAAGTTAGATGTTGTTTTTTGTCACACCCTCAAACCGGAACGACAGGAACGTTCGGGGGCGGAAGATGTCATGTTTAGTATCACAACACTGTGTCATAGCAATCATAGTAACAAAAAATCATTGTATTAATATTAAAGTGTTTACAACTAGTGATCCAAAAAAAGATTGAATCCAAAAGTAAATAACAAAACAATACATGAAGCTACTATACTTCATCTTCTGAATCCCAGAGCGCGTATCTATCTACTAGTTTCCTGAGAATACAAGTTATTTTGAAAGAGTAGATTAGCATTTAAGCTGGTGAGTTCATAAGATTTTAGTGATGTAAAGTAAGCTGTATGTTCTTTTTAGAAAAGTTCCCATGTTTCTCCAAAAGATCCTATATCTTCTGATATGATGAAAGATAAGTAAAAATGACTTTACAATCCTTTCTGTGAGTACTAAATGGATACAAGTTATATAAAGCCTAGAGTAAACAGACAATCGATTGTGTGTATCTGCCCTAAGCCCACAACCAAACAAGGAACATGAAATGAGGCGGAAGTCACACATCATTGTTTGTTAGGTCTTCATTGTATATAACCCTGGCGTATTCATTTCGTACTCACGGAGTTAATTGAAATAGTTCTTTATATTTGATGAAAACATTCCTTAAGAAAACCCTTATTTCTTTTAGTAAAAATGGTTACCATAATAGTTCCTTATATAATCACTTAGTTTATACAAGCTATATATAATCTAATATAGAACGGATAGTTAATTGTGTGAATCTGCCCGAAGCCCACAACCAAACAAGGAACATGAAGTAAGGCGGAAAGCACACTTCGAACTGCCTATCGGATATTAATTATATATAACTCTGATGTGTAAACTAAGGTATTATATAATTAACCACTAAAGTTCCTTTAAGTTATACTGGTTTAATAAAATGGATTAAACCCTTTTACTGATAAGTTTCTAGTTTAGTCTACTACATGTTCTATATGAAAAGTATGTTTTTGTACTAGAAAAACAATGTATTGAATTTGTATACTATGAACTGACCCATACCTAGTACTCCTTATGATTACTTGGTGTATACGAAATATATATATAACTAAGATCGGATAGATAGTAGACTGGATGCATCTGCTCTAAGCCCACAACCAAACAAGGAACATGAAATGAAGCGGAAAGCACACACTCTACTGTCTGTCGGACCCGATTAATATATATCCCTGATGTATGCACTTAGGAATCATAAAGTTAGCATTATAGGCCCCCTTTCTAAGTGAATGTAGTAAGACTCGACTGTATTGTTTGTCTTTTTTAATATGAAAGTATACAATAGTATTTTAAAGTGACTACTGAAGTACTGACTACCTTAAAACCAATTCGTATAATTAAGGTCAAAAATGTGATGTGATTGTAGCCATACTAATAATGCTCTCCCTCTAGGAGACTCGGGTTACAAAACGCGACTTAACAAACAAATTACTAAGCTGTGAATTAGTATCACATTTAATGTTATCTTGTTCTCGTTATAGTATGTTCCTTCTGTTCTAGTGTATAGTACGTTTCTCCCTATTTCTCTTTATAGTATGTTCCTCCCTGTTTCTCTATATAGTATGTACTGAACCCCTAA